TCCGTGGGTTTGTCCAGAGGGGCCCGGACAGGAGCCCACGGCCACACCGCCCACGGCCACGCCACCCACCGCACGCGGTTACGTCCGGCAAAACAAAGTTTGTGTTTTGCAAGCAGGACGCACCCTGCGACCGCGTGAGCTGAGTCACCGGCAGCCCGGTGCTTGGCAGCGCCGTGCGTTCTCTTCACGGGCAGCACTCCAGGCAGGGCCACGCTTCGCAGCTCAGACACGCTCTCTGCACAGGGCACGGACGGAAAACCGAGCCCCAGCATGCTCCCCCGTTACCAGGAAGGCACCTTCTGGGTGCGCTGGCAGAACTGCCAAAAGCGCAGCCAGGAGAGAGGCGAGCAGCAGGAGGTGGTGGGGGCCAGCGGGGCTGGCCGAGGCAGGGGGGCACGGCTGTGCGGGGGCCCAGAAATAAACCCCCACCCCTGGAGTACCCCGCAGAAGCTCAGCTTACCTTATTGTTGCTGTCTTGCAGAGGAAGCTTCATAGATGAAAGAATAAAAGGCTTTTTAATCTCCATTTGAGAGGCTGAAAAAAAAGAAGATGGACTCTGAAGGTCGACGATGTTCTCGAGCTGCTGATCCCGAACACTTCCCTTCCCCGACAGGGAGGGCTTTGTCCCTCGTCCCCTTCCCACCTGGCCAGGCCACCGGACTGGCTTCCTTCTCCCCTGACCCTGCAGCCAAGGACGGGCTCGTCCCCTCATCCCGCTCATCCCAGGTCCCAGCAGGGGAACGAGGGGATTCACGGAAAGAGACCCGTGGGAGGAAGGGGAGAGCCTGCCTGGAGCCCCTCCGCACCCTCCAGCTTTGAGACCCCGACAGGGACCGTGGCCGGCCGGGTGGCAGCCGCCCTGGTACTCACGGGCACTGTTGATGATCTGCCTCATGATGAGCAGCGTCCCCACGCGCGTCCTCTCGTTGCTGCTCTCCAGCTTTGGGAGGAGGAAGGCCAGCACGCGGTCAGGGAAGGAGCAGGCTGCGGGAGCCAAACCAACCGTCACGGCCGCACGTCGTCCCGGGGACGGCACGCAGCCTCGAGATTTGGGGTGCGGGCACCGCATCCCCTGCATGGGAGCGTCCCCCCTGCAGAACCCCACGTGCAATTGGGGGCTGCGTGCCCGCTACACGCAGCAGGGCTTTGCCAGCGGCGTCAAACCACATGCGGTTCGGAAAGCACCGCTCCTCCTGTCCCGGCCGGGCAGCTCCCCGGGGAAGCAGCCCACCAGCCCAGCTAACCAGCCCGTCCTGCTCTTCACATCCAGACCTGAGCCATTCTCTGGTGCTTTCAGTACATTTCCTGAGCTCCCTAGGGAGCTGAAGGAGTTTAAATTATACCTTCCAACAAGTGCTGCCCCATCTGTCAAAACGTTTTGATCGTTAAAAATAAAACCAGTCTATGGATGCCGAAATTGGCAGCGACGTTCGTGGGCATTGGAGAGGCACGTTTGGGGAGGGATGGGCTGCTCCGAGACGGGGGAGCCTCAAATTTGCTCAGGCAAAGGCAGCCAGGCGGCAGGTTTGCCTTTGGGAACGCTGGTGAGAAAGGGACATCACCCAACTGTGACTCAGCAGCAGCCCGTCACACCACTGCTCTTTTTCTGGCAATTGCCCACGCTTCTGTCTGCGCCGCAGAGCCAGCAGCCGGGGAGCCGGGGCTCCAGCCGCGGAGCTCCACACACAGGCTGGGAATGTACGAGCCCTAGGTCGGCCCGGTCCATTTGCAGTAACCCAAAATAACAACCGCGTCAGCTGCACACGAGACACAGCAACGAGGAGTAGGGGTGAGCAGGGTACCCCAAAGTCCAGCTGCACCACAGGCACGGCACGCTGTGGCACCTGCAGAGGTCTCGGCAGGCTGGGACAGCCTGAACGGCTCTGAGGAAACCTCTGAAACTGAGCCAGGCGCCGTTGGGAAGGTGCCCGGGAGGGGACGACGAGGCCTGAGCCGATGGCAAGCTGCCCCGTGCTCTTCCTCAAAGAGCTCCAGCGAGACGCTCTCCCTGGACGCTGCCTTTAGGGACAGGCAAAGCTACTGCCTTCAGCGAGCCC